TCTGAAGATTTTCTCTATCGCCTTCAGCCACTTCTGTGCAGCTTCCGGATCCAAAATCCCACCTTCAAACTTTGGTGGCTTGTTGCTCTGGAACTGCGTCAAGTCTCTGAACTGAGCACCCGCAACCAAATTCTGATTAGCCACCACATGTGCCATTGCTTGCATAGCTGCAGCCAACGCAACATCGTTCCTTCCCGCCATACTGCTCAACAACCACAACAACAGGTTAACGGAAAACAACCAAACTCTATCCTACAGACAGACTCAACTACAACACTGACCGGATGGACCGACCTGCTCTGATACCAACTTGTAACACCCCATTCCCCAAAAATAAAATAAAACAATCATTAAGCAATTATCAGAGTTTTTCCCAAAAAAAACGGGATGTCACATCTTCACCAAATTTCCACAGAAACAATTTTCTAAAATGGTTTTCAACAAATATGCAGCAGAAAAGAATCTGTCATAAACATAAGCATGTATATATACATCATCAACTTCATCATGTACAACCAGTCGGCCATCTGCCCAAAATGTACAAAATATCATCCTCGTATTCAATAAAACAAGATACGCCACAGGGGCACACAAAACATCAACTAAACACCAATACTCCCAAAAGCCCCGGTGTTACGTATCAGAGCAGTCCCTACGACATCACCACAATCCAAGCTAGCTAAACACCTGGATTATTTGTACTTCCGAAGAAGCACAGACCACAACAACATCAAAAGGGTGAGAAATCACGATCAGATATTAACGGTATAAATGCACATGAAATAAAAGGTAGACACATAAACATCATTTCATACACATCGAATCTGGACCTACTGTCCCATGCCAACACAACATACATACAACAAATGCAACACATGCAACTCGACACAATGATATGCGGTACCAACTCAAACTTAGGATAGATCACATACACTCCATCCGAGCAGATCTATCCCTACCACGCTCCTCCTGAGCCCATATAATCAAATCTTAGGATAGATCGCATACACTCCATCTGAGCAACGATCTATCCCTACCAACATTCCCCACTTGGAACACGGGTGAATCGCGTACACTCCATTCGAGCAATGATTCAACTTTCGTCCACGCTCCCCAATTGAAGCATGTGAGTGAATCACGTACACTCCACCGAGCAATGATTCACCACGTCCACGCTCCCCACTTGGAGCACGTGAGTGAATCACATACGCTCTACCAAGCAATGATTCACCACGTCCACATGCTATGCAGACACCATGCACAACAACACAACACTCACGGTGCACACGATCCTACTGATCCATCGCATTATAAAATGCATACACACCAAGTGCACAAAGTGCACACAATCCTACTGATCCAATTCCTTACACAACACATCAACACAACGCACATAATGCGTATTGATCCTACTGATCCACTCATCACAACAGCATATAAACGCAATGCATATAAAGCGTATCGATCCTACTGATCACAATTTATCATATATCGAACATGCCTCACCCATCACCAAAGTCATACATCATAACATACACCAATTCAATTATCAAAATCACACGGATATCACGTCCCGACACCATACATACACTCACCACAACTCACTAATAAGCTCATCACCAAACATGACCAACAAGGGTCCAAAACCACAAAGAAATCAACACAGAACAACAGCAAAACACAATCTGTTGTCGGGCTCGCTGACCAGTTCGCCTGGCGAAGGCTCGCCCCCATCATTCGCCCAGCGAATACCTGCGTTCTCAGGAAAAAAATCCCACACATCAGAAACAACAACCTTCCCTGATTTCGCCCGATTTTACCAAAAATCAGCTGCTAACACGACTAACCAACATAATCCGACTTAACTACGAAATCTATACCGAATTCCACCTGATAGCAACCTAGTCTTACTGTTCGGACCAACTTCGACTTAAAACGATAATCTACCAAAACCCCAAATTCATCTGAACAACTTCATGCAACGGTTTCTAACACATTGATCACACTCATAACAGAATTAACAACATGCAACAACATCAATTCATCATCAATTATGGGGATTAGGGAATTTCCCCTTTCTACCAATTACTCATGCAAATACCAATTCAACCGATCAATCCCCCTACCTCGAATGCACTTCTGATGATGATGAAGCTTCACAATCCACACAAAAATCCTTCTTGTTCAAGCTTCTACTCTTGATTATACCGTGATCGTGCTCCTCTTCCGTTCCTCTCCTTCGTGCGTGTTCTTCTCTTGTTCTATTTTAAAAAATGCCAACACTACCCTTAATACCCAAAAATCACTTTTTATTCCAAATAATTTCCAATATTAATATTCTCCACATTTTCTTAATTCCAAAGTAATAATCTTATTCCTTTTAATTTTCAAAAATCCACTAATAAGATATTGCTCATATATTACTATTAGTGATAATAATAATAATTAATAATAATATTTACATCACTATTAATTATCACGTTTTATCGCTATATATTAATATTATGAGTTCTTGATCCTCAAATAATTTCACACAAAACACATTCGCGAATAAAAATAACACGGGAACTAAAAATAATTAAAATAAGCGTTACATGGAGGTCGGTCAATGACACTTAAAGCTTACCCTGACTCCTTCAGTTATCGACAAAGTCTTGGAGACAACTGTTCTGGATCGGCCGAAGACCCAATGAATCAAGGCCCAATCCGTCTCAAATTTACTCTACTCGACCCAACATATAAAACAATTCACATGTTATGAGAAGGTATCCAATATTTGATGTCCAATTTCACTTTACTTATCTTGAATTTTGAGCTAACTTAAGTGTTGGAGTGCTAACTATGCAGACTCATCTCGCGCTGCTGTAAAGGAGATCAAAGTCACCACCGTTAAAGACAAATCGTCTTTCGCTTCTCATCATTTCTGATTCTTTCGAGAATTGAAACGTCAGGTTCCTAAATGAATCAAAAGTCTAAATTATCATATTTGTTATGTGTATGGTTTTTTAAATAAATTATAATTATATTAATATTAAAAAATACTTTTAATCAAACTATACAAACAATTTTTGTGTATAAATTGTGCATCGGAACTATGCTAGTATTTAATTATTCATTTTGTAAAAATAACATTAAAATAATAAAATTATAATAAAAGTTATTATAATAATTAATTAAAATATAAATACAGTTGTTACAAAACTAGAGTCTTCCCAACTCGAACGCTCCGACCACCGTTTTCCTCGCGAACTCCGACCACCGTCTTTCTCACGAACTCTCCGACCACCGTCTTTCTCACGAACTCTCCGACCACCGTCTTTCTCACGAACTCTCCGACCACCGTCTTCCTAACGAACGCTCCGACCTCCTCATCTTCCTTCACAATCAAATTTCTTTAGATTCGGTCCATCAACTGCTACAAGAAAACTGGGAATATGACATCATTTCTTTAGGGTTTTTGATTTCTTCTCTTTATTCTTTTGGGTTTTATGTTTCTTTTCTTTATTCTTTTGGGTTTGTGAAATTTTTTGATTATTAGGGAATATGAAATCATTACTGTTAAATTTCTTTTAGATGATGAATCTTTCATTTGTTTATTAGCTTCTTTCAATTGATTTTGATTATAGCTTAATACAAGCTTTAGAAACTGGGCTTTATGTGGTGTAATGGTTAATGTGATGAATCTTATTGTTGAATACAAAATTTTAGGTCCAAATTCTTACCCTAGATATGACTTTATATAAACTACCCTCAATTGGCTCCTTTTTAAATGCTAAATTGCAACTAATGGTCCAATCTGATATACACTTGTTCAATTAGCATGAAATTTGTCATCTAAGTTTCTTTTGGTTTTACAAATTTGTGGGAATAAGTTCTGGTTCAAAATCACACCTAGTTTGTGGTTTGAACATGTTAGCCTCTTGTTTGCCTTAATAGTTCTTTATTTGGAGCTGGGGATTTTAGTTGAAATATACTCATCTTATTGACTTGAAAATTGACACTTGCCTTATTTTTGGAGAGGAAATTTCTCTGTCAGTGTGTTTATCTCAAAATTATCCCAATATTAACGTTAATGTCCATACCCCTACTTTTTAAGCTTGTTTAACTTGATTTTGGAACCTAATAGTCCAATATGAGTTATACTTATTGAATTTATCCCATACTTTGCATCACGGTTACTTTTAATAGATTAAAACTGTAGGAGGAAGTTTAGAGTGAAAAGCACTATGGATTTGTATTTGGTAATTATAGGTCAAGTGTGCTTTCTATAGAAATTTACGCAATTTCACCTTTCAAATTAGGGTATAAGAACTAAATTCTCTCCATTCTTGGCAATAAAGGGTTAGAGTTGATTGAAATTAAACATCTTGGAACAAGTATCACATTGCCCAATATGATTAATGAAGAGGGAGGCCAAAGCTATATATTGGCTCAAGTTTTTCAATATAAGATGAACCAATCAAAAATACTTTAAGTTTGCTTCTGACTTTCTTCTTTTCAGTTATACTTTGGTTTATTGTGAGATGGAGTTCAGGTATTTTCTTTGGAGAGTGTAGGTGTACTAAGGATCAAGGGGGACTTGAGTGACGTTTACACGGTGTAAATTTTTTATTGTAATTAGGTAACGGCTGTGGTTTTCTCTTATGATGTTAGAGTTTTCCACGTTAAATTCTTGTGTAGTTTTTCGCTCCACCAATTAAAATACTGCCTAGAGTTGTACTGTTTTTATTAATTATGTTATTATGTTGGCAATTATGAAGTATTTTAGTTATACTTTAACATGGATTATGTCTCTTGTGTTTGACATCAACGTGTATCACGTCTGTCAGTCAAATACTTTTAGAGAACAATTTGTAATTATTTTTTGAGCTTTTATGTTGACACAAGAGTGACACCCCACTCTATGATTGCAGGCATCCTCTGGTGAATTTCTGCAACTGTCGTTTTCATCTTAAAATTCCAATTTTTTTCATAATATTGCAGAGGGAACAAAGTCAAAGATGAACATTGCTCTAATTCATCCAGATCTTGGTATAGGTAATAAATGGTTACCCCAAATACTTCCTGTTCTATTCAAACGAAAATCAACAATTTGGGTTCAATTATTTGATTTTCTTTTAATTGATTCAATGAAACAATGTTGTAGAATGTTCTTCAATATATTTTTGTTTCATAGTAATAGTTGATTCCCATGACCTTGTAATTGTTTTGTAGGTGGGGCTGAAAGATTAGTCGTGGATGCAGCTGTTGAACTTGCATCTCATGGTCATAAAGTTCATATTTTTACTGCACATCATGATAAAAATAGATGCTTTGAGGAAACCATTTCTGGTGAATCTATCTCTGTAACTGTGTCTCTATTTGTGTATCTCATTTGTTTTTTCTTTTAATTGAGAAATTACATTGCCATTAAGATACAGTTTGACTTGTACTGATTTCAGGTATCTTTCCGGTTACTGTTTATGGTTCCTTTCTTCCCCGTCATATATTCTACCGTCTTCATGCATTGTGTGCATATCTCCGGTGCCTTTTTGTTGCTTTCTGTGTTCTTTTCATGTGGCCCTCGTTTGATGTAATACTGGCTGATCAGGTCTCCGTGGTTATCCCCATCTTGAAACTTAAAAGGTCGACAAAGGTAGCAAAATATGTGTGTATATTCAAATTTTGTATCTTCAATTTATCACAGTTAATTCATTTTCTTGGTAGGTTGTATTCTACTGTCATTTTCCAGACTTGTTACTGGCTCAACATTCGACTTTCCTCAGGAGGATGTACAGAAAACCAATAGACTACGCAGAAGAAATAACAACTGGTTTGACCTTGTATCCCTGTTCTATTTTTCTTCTAAGCACTATTATCTTCTCGTGTATACACTGAATCATGCTTCTTATTAAGCATTACCAAATTGCAGGAATGGCCGATTTGATACTCGTTAACAGCAAATTCACTGCATCTACTTTTGCAAATACTTTTAAGCATCTAAATGCTAAAGGAATTCGACCAGCTGTCCTATACCCAGCAGTCAACGTGGATCAATTCAATGAACCCACTTCCTCTAAGTAAATGACTTGCATGTAGCTTATTATTAAAACCTTGTTTATATACTTGTTTATAGAATCACAATTTTGTGTTTTGTTAATGCTTTTGTTGCAGGTCAAATTTTCTTTCCATTAACCGCTTTGAAAGGAAGAAGAACATACAACTAGCAATATCAGCTTTTGCTATGCTTTACTCGCCTAACGGAGCTTTAAAAAATCGAGATAATACTAGTGCTTCTTTGACTGTTGCAGGTGAGCATGTTTTTCTTTTCGCTTTGTATTTCTGATTACAATAATAGATGTTATGGTGACACATTATAAATTGTCATGGAAGTGTCTATCTCAATGTTTGTGCGTCAGACTGAATTTGATACACCAGTGTCTTCAAGATATAATCTATTAATGTCAACAAAAGTTATATTTGGTTTGTAGTTAAGTTTAACAATTCTTCTATACTCTTCCTACCATTTCGACAGACTGATGTTTTGCAAAATCTTCTCTATCATAGAAAATTTTCGGTAAATTATCTTGTGCCACTTTTTAGTGCGATCATTACTCAATCAAATGCATTAGCTGTGGCTTGTTTACAAAAGGATCATATATTCTGTGTTGTATGATAACAATATTTTATCATGGGTCTTTAGTGATTGTCACAATCTATTATGATGAGTTTAAGTTTTGGAGTCCGTTGATCCATTTATCCAAAAATTAAATTAGGTTAAGATTTGGTGGTAGTTGGCCTCACCTAGTGGATAAGACTGAGTCTTTCGTAAAGAAGATTTGTCTGTGTAAACCTGTAAAGACGATTAAATTTTTTATTTTCTATCTGCTTGGTGCCTTATGTTAGTTATATTTAACAGTCTTCTGACATTCTGCATTTATTTATAAATAAATATACTATTTTTCTTGCAGAATACGCCAGTCCCATGTTTGAACCACTGATACTTTTCTCATTTATTTCATTTTGACGTATTTGTGTACGCGTGCAATTTTAGAATTCAAAATCTTTTATCGTAAAATTTCCAGGTGGCTTTGATAAACGGTTGAAGGAGAATGTGGAGTACCTAAAAGAGCTTAAAGATTTAGCAGAGAAGGAAGGGGTCTCTGATAAAATAAATTTCATCACATCTTGCTCGACAGATGAAAGGAATGCTCTTCTTTCAGAATGCCTGTGTGTCCTTTACACGCCAGAGGTATGTGGAATCTTGTTAATTATGATTGTTGAAATTTGATAAAATTTGAATGCAGAAACATAATATTTTACATAATGTTATTTGATACAGAATGAGCACTTTGGCATTGTTCCTTTGGAAGCAATGGCAGCTTATAAACCTGTAATTGCATGTAATAGTGGTGGTCCTGTGGAGTCAATCAAGAATGGTGTAACCGGCTTCCTTTGTAACCCTACACCACAAGAGTTTTCCTCAGCAATGGCTAACTTCATAAATGATCCCCTGGGAGCAGAAAAAATGGGCAAAGAAGCTAGGAGGCATGTTGTCGAGTCATTCTCTACAAAGACATTTGGCAAGCATTTAAATAGATATCTTGTTGACATTCACCGAGGAAAGGAGGATTGAGTTTAACATTAGATACATGTTTTTTGCCTCAAATTGTTAACAGAGATGATGACATCTTCAAATGTTGTAAGGTTTTCACTTTTAGACATTTGCTGATAATATAAAAGGAATTGTAATGTTTATAGAGAAGTTTTATGTGCTATATTAAAACCTACAGCCACCCTAGCATTTTTTTAGTGTAAATCAGGTAACACCCTCCATTTATAACTGCAGAAACTAAATCCAACTAAACGTAGCTGCATCTTTGAGACTGGTAAAATATTATGGCGGTGGTATATGTAGCAGGCTCCACTTAGTTGGATATTTCTTGGTTGTTGTTCTATCTATCTTAAACGTTGAAACCAATAATTTTATTGCCTTGAAGAACCTTCCAATCTTAAGTCAGTCAATTCAATCAATAAAGTGTCTAAGATGTAGAAGTGTGAACATGGACTCATTCTATGTAACAGCTTGGAGGAAATGAGGTAGTAGACTTTGATGATGGATGAGCCTTTTTTCGAGGAAGATTCATGATTAACATGGTGTGGAAAAATGTAATATTAGCCTTTCTTCGAGGAGGACTCATGATTAACAAGGTGTGGGAAAATGTAATATATGGTGAAAAAAGAAAATGGCGAATTGAATTCATGTCATTTTCTCTCCTAATAAGGGTTTTCACCGTCTTTCTGTGTTAAACTAGGGATGTCAAAATAGATTCGGCCTGTTGAACATGTTTGTTTTATTCATATTTTTGAGAGGGGTCAAGGATTTGTCGGGCATGTTTGTTTTGTCTGCACTTTTTTTGGAACGGTTTTAGCTGCACCTTTTAATATGTCCGCTCCGTCTTTTTTGCAGCTTTTGCGGGCATAGATTTTTACATATAATCAGCTTTTACAGGCATAGATTTTTACATATAATCAGCTTTTACAGGCATAGATTTTTACATATAATTTTGTAAATTTTAGATCTAAAAGATTCAAAATGTCCGCGGGTCCGTCTCGTGCCGCTCTGACGTTTATGCGGGATAGAACAAAAGTTTAGGCTCACATTCTCAAATATGTCAGTCCCAACCCTCCTATTTTTTCACCCTATTTTTTGCAAACTTTTGCAAGGCAAATTTAAACGGGGCGGACATATCCATTTGCCAAAGTAAAAAAATAGCACAAATTAAAACAACAGTATTTTTTTTATAGAGATTTGTATTCCAACATGTCCTTTTAACACATACACTAACCCCAAAGACTTTTGCGTCAACTCTTTTGAAAAAATCATCTAACAATTCAACTCCAACTTCTTCCAACATTTTGTGGCTGTTGTTAGCCATGAGCCCATGATTCTAATGCATAGAATTTCTTTCTATACATTAGACACACAGTCCAAAGATTCAATCAATCATTCACACCAACACATACACACAACAATAACATTATAAAACAAGGAAAATCAAACAACACTAGAGGACTGTGTTGAATAAAACATGATTCATAAAAAACAAATGCAGCACTTCAAAGTCTCTGCCACTGCCTATGTTTTTCTTTTCTTTGCTCTAATTATAGCTACAACAACAACTCAAGCAGCTACAGATCTATCTTACATTCAAAATTACTGTCCAAATACAACCACTTTTTCTCCAAACACAACCTACCAAACAAACCTCAACAAGCTTCTTTCTCTGCTTACATCAAATTCCACCAACAAAAATGGCTTCTATTACACCACCGTCGGCCAAAACAACCCCGGAAACACCGTATACGGTGCCTTCCTCTGCCGTGGAGATCTCACAACAAAAGATTGCCAAGACTGCGTTTCCGTAGCATCCAATCAAATCCTTCAAAACTGTCCTACAGAAAAAGAATCAGTTATCTGGTTATCTGAATGCATGATACGTTACTCAAACATTGCTTTCTTCAGCATAGCTGCAGAAGTTCCTGTACAAACCCTCTGGAACACTGCAAGTGTGACGGAGCAAAACCGGTTCATGCAACTATTAGCTGATACAATGAACGCTGCAACGGCAGAGGCGGTGAATGGTGGAGGTGACAAAAAGTTCGGAACTAAAAAAACAAATTTTACTGGCTTTCAGACTTTGCATACACTTGCACAGTGTACACCGGATTTGTCAAAGTCAGGATGTGAAAAATGCCTTACAATAGCAACTACTGCATTACCCTCTTGCTGTAATGGACAACAAGGTGCAAGAGTGCTTATTCCTAGTTGTAATATTAGGTACGAGCTTTATCCGTTTTATCATGAGTCGAATGTTCCTGCTCCTGCAGAACCAAGGCCAAGTCCACAAGATACTGTCGAAGGTACTAAGGGCTCGTATGATTTAATTTTGCAAAACTGTTTTATAGTTTTTAAAATTTATGATTAGCTGGTGATTAAGTTAAAGTTGATTCACTGTATGCAGGAAAAAAATCCAGGAACTCGGTTGTGATCATTATTGCAATAGTATCTCCGATCGTGATTATCTTATTGCTTACACTGTTAGTCCTATGGATCATTTCTGAAAAGAAAAGAAGAAAATTCAATCCAGTGTCTGTGCCAGTGCCTGAAGAAAGCGGTATGGTTAAAAAATTAACTGTTTCATATCTTCTAATTAGTTCACTTTTATGCAGTATTTTTGAGTCTGCTAATATATTTTATTCTGCAGTTGAAATCTCGAGAGTAGAATTCTTGCAATTTGATTTTGATACGATCGTAGCGGCCACAAACAACTTCCGTGATGACAATAAATTGGGGGAAGGAGGATTTGGCGAGGTTTACAAGGTATCGATTCGTAGGCTTGTATCACATGTATTTGATCGAAGTTTAGTCCTTATATTTAAGACCGAGGGAGTACTAGTTTGGAGTTTGGTTTCTTTCAGGGTATGTTATTTAATGGACAAGAGATTGCTGTGAAGAGGCTATCAAGAAGTTCTGGTCAAGGCATAGACGAATTCAAGAACGAGGTAGTTTTGGTAGCAAAACTACAACACCGAAATCTTGTTAGGATTCTTGGTTTTTGCTTGGACGGGGAAGAGAAGATGCTCGTTTACGAATTCATGCCGAACAAAAGTCTAGACTATTTTCTATTTGGTGTGTGCATCAAAATATTTTTTGTGATCTTATCGATTAAATGCATTCTATGCAGTGAAGTATGTATTAACATGTTTGCTTCCGTTCTTTTTATGATACACAGATCCTGAAAAAGCACATCAGATAAATTGGCCTAGACGATACAAGATAATAGAGGGAATTGCACGAGGAACACTTTATCTTCATGAAGATTCTCGACTTCGAATCATACATCGTGATCTTAAAGCTAGTAATATATTATTAGACGAGAATATGGATCCTAAAATTGCTGATTTTGGGATGGCAAGAATTTTTGGCGTTGATCAAACCCGAGGAATCACAAATAGAGTTGTTGGAACATTGTAAGCATCATTTCCATACACTATTTTTTCTATCAGTTGAAACTCGTGTTGCTCACACTCCATATAAATTTGTTCTGTTTATAGCGGTTACATGTCTCCAGAATATGCAATGCATGGAGAGTTTTCTATCAAAACAGACGTGTATAGCTTTGGTGTCCTTGTTCTCGAGATAATAACAGGAAAGAAGATAACGTCCTTCCGCAAATCAGGCTACACCGAGGACCTCTTAAGCTATGTGAGTTAACTCGATCCATCTCAGTGTTTTCCAGTATCAGTTAATGAATAATGAATGAACAAAAAGTTGGATAATAAAATGTACTATTTACAGGTTTGGAAAAAATGGAATGATGGGACACCAATGGAGTTACTTGACATGACATTGAGAGATTCGTACTCAAGAGTTGAAGTAACAAGATGCATCCATGTTGGGTTATGTTGTGTTCAAGAAGATCCAGAACAAAGACCATCCATGCAGACAATAGTTTTATTGTTGAGTAGCAATTCTGTTACTCTTGAACAACCTCAACGACCAGCAGGTTATTGTAAGAGCACAGATTGTGTCTTAGTAATATCTCTATGTTTTGATGATAACATTAATGATAATTTGTATACAAGAATTATACTCTCTAAATTTGTTCTAAACTGTTTTCTACAGGCACAAAAGATTTTAATCTTAAAGAGCAAATTTGATGTGAACAATAAATTCTGAATGGCTCAAGAGCATCTGAAGATTAGAAGAATCTGAAGTATAAGAGCTTAGTCATCAAGATTCTGAAGATACAACACGCTGCATATATTATCAAGAATCTGAATGAAAGAAGACTCTGAGTGAAGAGACTCTGAATGAAAGAAGACTCTGAGTGAAGAGACTCTGAATGAGAGAAGACTCTGATCTGAGTGAAGACTCTGATCTAAGAGCATGTTACGCTTCAAGCACACAGCTGCACCAGACTCTGATTCAGCAACATCTGAAGAACATCTTAGGCTCTGAAGTTTCCAGAAGATTCTGAAGACTGAAGACTCTGATATTGATTGTTGATCTGAACTATCTGAAGAATTATTTGAAGAAGATTATTTTAATATATCCGTTGGAATATGCCAGCAAATCTTTCCTTAATTGGGATAGACATAAATCTCTGCAAGAAGATTATTCCTCTGATACATTCCATATATGGTAAATTCACAGCTCAGCAGACAATTGCTACACCCACATTTTGTGCGCCGTCTCTCTGCTGCAATAGTACAAAGGACAGTACTTTTTGATATTGGAAATATCTTCTCCAACGGTAAAATATTCTCTCCAATATTCAAGTGGCTATATAAAGGAAATGATAGCTCTTTCTTCAGTGACGAATATAGTAGAGAAAATAGAGAAAGACGAAAATCATTGCAAGAACACTCTCACGCGAAAAGCTCTCATATTCTTTGCTGTTCATACATTGTTCTAAACTTAGAGAAATAACACAGTTGTGTTTATAGCTTTCATAGAAGCAATTTATTACTCTTACATTGTATTACATTAATTTGTAAAGGAAGTTTTCCTTAAGAGGATCTAGGGTTAGATCAGTAGCTCTTGAGAAGACTAAGAACAGTTGTTCTTAGGTGTTGTTTTCCTTAAGAGGATCTAGGTTAGATCAGTAGCTCTTGAGAAGACTAAGAACAGTTGTTCTTAGGTGTTGCTATTTGTAATCAGTTGATTTGAATAGTGGATTAAGTCCTTGTTGAGAAAGGCAAATCACTCTTGAAAAGGGTGGACTGGAGTAGTTGAGTTCAACGAACCAGGATAAAAATACTTGAGTTTTTATCTTTGATTATTTTCTGTCATACTTATTCAACCCCCCTTCTAAGTATTTTCTCACCTTCAGTTGGTATCAGAGCCTGGTTCTGAGTGTGCATTCACTTAACCGTGACAGATAAAGATCCAGTGAGAAGAATACTCTGTTATTTATTTGGTTGCTAATATGGGTGATATTCCTACATCAAGCAACAAATATGAAGGAGACAGAATCAGCACCAAACCTCCAATGTTTGATGGAGAAAAATTTGATTATTGGAAAGATAGACTTGAAAGTTTTTTCTTGGGGTATGATGCTGATCTCTGGGATTTAGTCATTGATGGATATGAACATCCTACTAAGGATGGCAAAAAGATTGATAGAAAATCAATGACTGAGGAGCAGAAGAAAGAATTCAAGAATCATCACAAAGCCAGAACCATACTTCTTAATGCAATCTCTCATACAGAGTATGAGAAGATTACCAACAGAGACACTGCTCATGATATGTTTGAGTCTCTCAAAATGACTCATGAGGGAAACTCTCAGGTGAAAGAAACAAAGGCTCTGGCGCTGATACAGAAGTATGAAGCGTTTAAGATGGAAGAATCTGAGAACATTGAGACTATGTTTTCCAGATTTCAGATTCTAACAGCTGGGTTGAAAGTTCTGGACAAGGGCTACTCAACATCTGATCATGTCAAGAAGATCATCAGAAGTCTTCCTACCAGATGGAGACCTATGGTGACTGCATTGAAGCTGGCCAAGGATCTGAACAAAATCTCATTAGAAGAACTCATCAGTTCTTTGAGAAGTCATGAGATTGAGCTGGAGGAAGATGAACCCCAGAAGAAGGATAAAGGTAAATCCTTAGCTTTTAAATCTAACAAATCTGTTAAAGCTTTGCAGGTAAATGAAGAAAGCTCTGAGGAATCTTCTTCTGAAGAAGAAGATGAACTATCCATGCTGTCCAGAAGGATCAACAAACTCTGGAAGCACAAAGGGAAGAAGTTCAACAACTTCAGAAGATCTGATCAAAAGAGAGAATCTTCTGGACACAGAAGATCTGGCAAGAAAGAGGTCGCTTGCTATGAATGTAAAGAACCTGGACACTACAAGAGTGAATGTCCCAAACTTCAAAAGGAAAAACCCAAAAGGAAGTTTGATAAAAAGAAAAAGGTTCTGATGGCTACATGGGATGACTCAGATGAATCTGAATCATCTTCTGAATCTGAGGAAGAATGTGCAAATGTTGCGCTGATGGCCAACACAAATGATCAAGATGAAGGAACGTCATCATCTGAATCTGAGTCAGAATCAGACTCTGACTCTGAAGAGGTATTTTCTGAACTCTCCAGAGCTGAACTTGTTGAAAGTTTATCTGACATGTTGGAAAGCTACAGCAAGATTAAACTCAAATACAAGAAGCTGAAAAGCAATCTTGAATCTGAGATTGATCTTCTGAGAACAGAACTTGTTGAGCAGAAAGAAATAAATTTAAAACTCAAAAATGATTTAGAAACAACTCAACAAGAATCTGATACTGAAACAGAGTCAAGTGAAAATATTTTAGAAAAATATGACTCCAGTTTTAAAAGATTCCTCACTAAAAGCATAGACAGAAGCAAAATGGCTTCTATGATCTATGGTGTTAGTGGGAACAACAGAAGAGGCATTGGATGTGAATCTTCCTCTGGAAGCAATCCAAAATCTGTTGATAAACTCTTCATCAAGAAGACTCCTCTGTATTCTCATTTTAAGTTTGGTCATCTGAATGATATTAAACATACAAGCTCTGAAAAGAGTACTTATGTGTTTAAGCCAAGGGCTAGCCAGAATAAACACTATGTTGAAAAACAGAAGTTTAGGCAAAACCACAGAACATCTAACCCCAAAGGACCCAAGAAGATCTGGGTACCTAAAAGTAAAATAATACCTGTTGCAGATGTTCTTAGCAGCAAAATCCAGACACCAATCATGGTACCTGGACTCTGGATGCTCACGACATATGACGGGCGAAAGGTCTATGTTCCAAAGCCTGGAACTTAGATCTGGAGGGGACGTGAAATTTGGAGGGAACCAGAAGGGCAAGATCATTGGCTCTGGTACAATAGGTAATGGTAACCTACCCTCTATTTGGATGTATTTGTTATATGCTTAACACTAAAGATCATCTGAACAAGTTTGATTCCAAAGCACAGAAGTGTTTCATGCTTGGTTATTCTGAACGCTCTAAAGGCTACAGAGTATTCAATACTGAAACACAGATTGTGGAAGAATCTATTCATGTTAGATTTGATGATAAGCTTGGCTCTGAAAAGCCAAAGCAAGTTGAAAGTTCTGCAGATAGAGAAGTTATTCTCACAGACTCTGAAGGCTCAGAGGCAGACAAGACTGAAGACAAAGACTCTGAAGCAAACCCAGATGCTACGCCTCTAACTTCCCAACTTGACAATCTGCATATTTCTGAAAGACCAACTGTCAAAGGATCTTCTTCCAGAATGAAAGCTTCTCATCCAGAGGATGTGATAATTGGAAAGAAAGATGATCCAATAAGGACAAGAGCATTTCTCAGAACTTCTGAATCTTCCTTCTGTGGCTTAGTGTCAATTATAGAACCAACATCTGTTGATGAGGCTCTGGAAGATAATGAATGGATTTTAGCTATGCAAGAGGAGCTGAATCAATTCACAAGGAATGAAGTCTGGGATCTGGTTCCAAGACCTAAAGGTTTCAATGTCATTGGAACAAAATGGGTTTTCAGAAATAAACTTAATGAGAAAGGAGAAGTTGAAAGGAACAAAGCAAGACTGGTTGCTCAAGGCTACAGTCAACAAGAAGGCATAGACTACTCAGAGACATATGCTCCTGTTGCAAGGTTAGAGTCTATACGCTTGCTTATTTCATTTGCTGCACAACATAACATCACTCTTTATCAGATGGATGTTAAAAGTGCTTTTCTTAATGGAATTATAGAAGAGGAAGTGTATGTCCACCAACCTCCTGGTTTTGAAAATGAAAATTTTCCAGATCATGTTTACAAACTGAAAAAATCTCTTTATGGACTAAAACAAGCTCCCAGAGCTTGGTATGAGAGGTTGAGTAATTTTCTTCTGAAGAAAAATTTCATCAGAGGAAAAGTGGATACCACACTATTTTGTAAAACCATTAAGAAAGATTTGTTGATTTGTCAAATTTATGTAGATGATATTATTTTTGGATCAACAAATATTATGCTTGGAAAGGAGTTTGCTAAATGTATGCAGGCAGAATTTGAGATGAGCATGATGGGAGAATTGAGATTCTTTCTGGGAATCCAAGTAAATCAGACTCCAGAGTGCACCTACATACATCAGACCAAGTATGTTAAAGAGCTTCTGAAGAAGTTTAACATGCTGGATAGCAAAATGGCAAAGACTCCAATGCATCCTACAAGCACTCTAGGTAAGGAAGAGGTAAGTAAGAAGGTAGATCAGAAACTCTACAGAGATCTGACGAATATTCACTAGTTGGATTCTGTGATGCTGACTATGCTGGAGATAGAGTTGAGCACAAAAGTACTTCTGGAAGCTGTCAGTTTCTTGGAAGTCATCTGATCTCGTGGTACAGCAAGAAGCAACCAACAATTGCACTATCAACCACAGAGGCAGAATACATTGCTGCTGCTGGATGTTCCACTCAGATGCTCTGGATGAAGAGTCAACTAGAAGATTATCAAATCTATGAGAGTAATCTTTCTATCTTCTGTGATAATACTTCTGCTATATGTTTATCCAAAAATCCAATTTTACACTCTAAGGCCAAACATATAGAGATTAAACATCATTTCATCAGAGACTATGTTCAGAAGGGTGTAATAAATTTAGCCTTTGTTGATACAGATCATCAATGGGCAGATATTTTCACAAAACCCCT